CGCTAGCTTCACACAAAATTTCTACAGTTACTCCTTTATTCCCTTGACTGATACTATAGATAGCCCCCCACTTTCCCACCCCCATTTTGAAAGTGCAATCGCTTGCAGCGCGACATACAAGTTTTTGTGAACTATGTATATAACGTGGCAAGTATAAAAGTGCCACAAAATTTTAGCCAGCCTGGGTAGCTCGTTCCTCTCATTGTCAGGAATACCTCACCCCACCTTTTGGGGGCGGTGCAGTAGTCACCACTTTTAAAATTCATTAGGTTATCAAAGTTGCAGCTTAGGGTTTTGATCTCCTGAACCTGGTTATAACTTTCCTGCCATGAACGGATGAATCGTCTCACTTCGGAAAGTGGGCCGGTAAAAACTGTGATAGAGCGATTTAACATTTGCGACAACCAATGGCTATCGATTTTGAAGGAGGATTTTACCATGAAAATGTGGCTTATTGGAAATTAAGCTAGAAGTGGTCAGTGGAGCAGGAACCAAGAAGAAACCATGAAAGACGGCCCGGAACTCGAATTATAGGACCCCTTCTTCGCCTGTTGACTTTCCCCATTGTTGCGACTCTCACTGTTGTGCCCTCTTCAACGATAACACTCTCTCTGCCATCTAATCACACGCCGTGCACACAGGGGTGGCCAGAAAAAAAAGAGACATCCTGCCCACATCATCAAACTTCATTGGCACATGGTGCGCTGTTGATGAAATTTCAAACAAAAAGCCTATAGATGCCCTGCCAATAAGCCAGAAGCAGGCTCCCTCCACTTCCCTCACCTTCCTCAAAATATGATGCCATCTTCCAACACCAGCTCAAAAGAGCCTACCTAATCGTTCCAGCCTGAAGCGGCTACGAAATTTCTCAATCGGTTCATTGATGGATTGCTTCCTAGGGAAATTTGAACATGCAAGACCCGTCTGGCTTCAAGAGCTGTCTGGAATGTGGGGGTGTCTTTTTTTGGTCAGCCCTAGACCTGCGGCGATGATGAGATGGGTGGGCATTCCGGGCCAACAGCTCTGGAGGGCGAGTGTCGGGAAGGAGTCCTACGATGAAAATTGCGCGCTAGCTCGCAATCCTATGTAGGGAGCACTGTTTCTCCAAAAGGTCAGTTTCCCCTTCTCGCCCTCCATTCTTATCGGGGTATCCTCCTTTAAAGTTATAACCCAAGATGATCGAATGTGGATCAATCTGTCCTGCCAGCAGGATAGAGCTGCTCATGAAGACCGTAGATGCGTTGTGGCCGATCCACCGCTTTTGATTTGCTGGTCCGAGGGTGAATTTAAGAGGGCACTACTGCACTGCTCTTTGAATGCAGCGCGTGCTGGCATTGAGCCAGCAGTTCTAGCCAAACTCCCGTTCAAACACGCCCTTTCTTCGTTCCAAACGGAAGGATAGGATATACAGGGGGGGGGGGGGCAAAAAAAAGACATTTTGCCCAGTCGCACTTCGGCCTTTTTTTCTTCGCAGAGATTGCCGTCGTTGACGGAAGTTCCTCAGCAAAATATTCCCTAAATGTCCCTCTATAAGTACACGCAGGCCCTCCTTCACTACCCTCACCGTCTTCAGAATATGACGTCATCTGTCACCGTCGTCGAGCTCAGGGAGGCCTACAGTAACTGCTTCAGCCTGAAGCTCTTACATAATTTCTTGGATCGATTCAACGTGGGATAGTTTCCTAGGACATTAGCTCTAACTATGCAAACCCCTCGGAACCCGCCCTTCGGAACCCGTCGTAACGGTACACGATCAGTCGAGAACCCCATTGAGCTCGACCAGAGCACCATGTTTCCGGGGCAAACTTTTCTGATGCCGTCCACGTAGATGGCCACTATGAAGATTTTATGAAATGAAATGCGCTCTTCAATTCTAAGTTGGGAGCACACGCTTTGAGCTGAGCAAAGTGTGATTAAATCCATTTGAGTCTGGAGACAAAATGTCTTTTTTATTGCCCCCCCCCGTATTGAGAACTCCATCAACTCTTTTGTTTGTTTGTTTTTACAGTAAAATCCGCAACTCCACCTTCATTACGAGCGCTGTTACCCCACTAATCTTGATCCTGGACAGCTGCATCAAAAAGCGGTAAGATATGTATGGGCACCAGGTTGTACTGAATTTGCCTTGATCGACCAGCTTACTCATTTTTATAGGTGCTTTTTTGATGGTCTGACCCCTTTTCGTACGGGTATCATTCATGAAGGCCATAACCAGGAGTTTTTTTCGGTGGTTTTGTTTTCATGTCGTTTTTCTTATCAACGAGCGTGTCTGGTTAGTGAACACCTAAAAATTGCTTGATATAAAACCGAAGGTTAATACTGAATTGATCTATTCTCTCTGGTGCTTTTTAGGCTCAAATTGTCAAAAATGGAATTGGAAAACTTTAGCAAATCCTACGACTCATTCACCACTTTTAGCTGTTGAAGGTCAATCACTTGTGCTAGGGTTTCATCATTTCTTCCCCCAACGATGAGTAGCACTGTATCCGGATAGAATTGTCGTGTTTCAATTCCGCAATATTCAACACATCGCGTCGTTAAATTGTTGATAAATTGAAGATGATTAATTCTGAAAAACATAGAAAAAGATTTATTTATTTATTCGTGCGTGTAGCTCAAGCGCCTAGAAAAACAAACAAGAAAGCGCTGCGGTTAGTCAAGAGGACGGCATCCCTACTATATTTTTTACGGGCCTTTTAAAACTGCAGAGCTCCATTACTCCATTATCCTGCATTCATGGACAGAATTGGAAGATACGTCGTATGCTCCGGGCAAAGGTGTTCCGAATGGTTAACGATGAACTTGGCCACCGTTATATGTTTGGGGTCAGGCTGAGCCTAGTTGATGACGGCTTTGGTCCATAGGTCGTCTCGGGAGCGTATAACGTGATCGCTCCACGCGATCTTCGGCAGTCTGCAGCAGCTGTCACTGATCCATGACCAGTAGACCAAAGCAAAGCGAAGCATCTTGGTCGCGCCCAGAGTGATATCATTCTTCGGATGACCACGTTCTATCCACTACTCGTGTAAATAAATATTATCTGGCAATTTTTCGGAAAATCTTCCTTTTGTATCCCGCCTTGCCGCAATTGTTTTTGAGCGTGAGAACATTGTTGATGGATTCTCCAACTCCTCTCTTCTTGTAACCTCGGCATCAGTTGTTCTTTTCGTGTATTTTTCATGTGCCATACGAGGTTGATAGGTGGAACGTTTATCAGATCGGTTTTACGTTTCGACAAATCGTCGTCCTCAGAGGCCTAGGGCTCGACCGTTGCGCGGCCCCTTCACGTCAAACGCTAGCGTTCGTCAGTAAGAATTTTTTTTTGATTCTCGGTAAGTTTGAAATTTGATATTTTGTATATTGATTTGCGATTTAAATTTTATATAATTTTATATTTTACATGGAAGTTATTGGTAGAGTTTAGAACGCTAGAGCCACCCAGGCACCGTTGATAGTCTGATCATCAAAAAACGAGGGTTTCGAGGAATTTGGGCCGTACGCAATAACCCCGGATGATCAATCGGGTTTGCACAATTTATTTCTTAATTCCTTCACGGATCTCGCTTCTAGGGTTGTGACGTAGGACGATATTCCCTAGGGTCTTGCATGCTGCGCAAGCTTGCTCGGCATCCAATCCTAGTTGTAAGCCTCACAGCTATTTTGAGGCAGCCGTGACCGGTGAACTAGCATCCTACATACCATTGTATCAACACATTAACAAATATAGAAAAATACTGATAAAACCAAGGGATTTCCAAGCGATGATGTGACCGAAGATTGCAAATACCACAGGATCGTGGTGACGTGACAGTCTGTACTACACAGGTGAGCACTTGTTGTACGGATGCTTCACCGACATCAAGACCATTTGGCTTCAGGGCATGCACTTTTGTTATCGCGCGGAACCATGTACCTTCACCAATTATATTCGTTCGTTATAGCGAACTACGCGACAGCGGTCAGTCGCCCTCAGACTCCTAACCTAAGGGGTGGGCATAGAAAGCGGCAGCACGTGGTTGCTAAAGGGGCGATACCTTGATTGTTCAGGTTCTCATTACACTTGTTCGTGCAGTCTTTCCAGCGTTCTTCATGGGCTGCGCTTTGGTCTCTCCGACTCTTCTGAATATAGTCCAGCTAGGATTCATGCACTCTAAAAATTACGCCAACTACAAAAAATGCTTAGGTTTTCGCTGACAAGACTTGAACTATATAACAATTTAAGAAACTATTTAAACAATTTATAAGCTTAAAATAATCAACATGTTGGAAAGAGTTCAAAATAATTTCACCAGAAAGCTTATGATACGCGCGCTAGGGTTTTTGTATGATCAAATTCCTTCCAGTGCTGCTAGAAATAAGAATTTTGGTTTGTCTTCTCTCGCGTCTAGGAGAAAGGCGGAATGATCTACTGTTTTTCCACAAGCTCATCCACAATGATAATTTCAAACTCGAAAGCTTTGTGTCGCTTAGGGCATCTGTTACGCGTGGTGGTACTATCAAATACAATGTTGGTAGAGCTAAGCTAAATTGTAGACGTTATTTTTTTACCCATAGAACAGTTCCTTTGGTCGAGAAGTTGAGCAAGATGCAACCAATGTCAATACGTTACAACGTTCTCAAAAAGACTTTAGACAAATGCCAGAGTTCATTAGGCCTTGCATGATAGTCGTGCTATTAATTGTTTTTTTTTGTAATTTTATTCACAATTCTGTTCGTTCGTTGGAGTTGTTGGTTTTTTTTGAATGATTGTTCGGAGTTTGTTTACACAGGTTCGCTTGTGTAATAAATAATAATAATTTCGTCACACACCGTCTATGCTCTTTGAAGGCACAGGGGTCGCTTCTAAAACGGAATTGTCCCTTACCTTACACTTCCTTTTTCCCTTCCCCTTCCTTGTTGGTGCTCTATGCCTATTAATCCTTCGCGTGTTGATTGGTGCTGATTCGTTATCGCTACTGTTTGTGCGTCTGCATTGTGCCCGTATAAATCTCTGGTCAACCATGCATCCAAAGACACCGCTACAGCCCCAACAGCAACGAAAGCGCACCACCAGCGATATGAACGATGGGATTGAATACAACAAAAAGGTTTGTTCAGATTTAGAATTTATTCGGAAGCTCTTTAGAAGAAGATTTGCTGCACTATGATAACCGCTCTCCTTCCAACTTAAACTCTCATCGGCAGCAGCCTGATCTGAACAGCTCCATTGCTGCAAAAAATATGAGCATTTATGTTCCTAATTTTGAGTTCCGCGAGAAACTTCAATCTGAGTCTATGACTGGAGCGTCTTCGCCATTTCCATAAGAGGAAAGTAACGAAGGCGCATTCCAAAAATATAGGAACCCTCTAGACTCGCTCTTCGCCAATTTTGCATTTAGAGTGATTAAAGGCAAACTCCGGAATTAAACTGGTGCTAAGAACGCTTCGCAGTGGTAGCTTAGCTGCAGAGCGACCCCAAAATGGAGAGGGAAACGAGAGAACTCTTTGGGAACGCTGAACATAAGGCCTTAACCTTCAAAAAGGTCGGATGTGGTACGATGGCAAGGCAGGGCGATCAGAGAGGTCAAAACACGCGAGAGAGAACGTCGTTTGAGAGAGCACGCTGATCTCTACATCAATGCACGCTGATCTCACCACATCTCGCGGTGGGTGGGGAGCGTTCGATGGTTGGAGGCCCGTAAGGATTAGCGCCCTAACCGCGCGATTTTCGCGACCAAGTTGAAGTGATCTAGGTAGGTACGGGTCTTACAATTTCCCTCGCGGTATCCTTCCTACTAGTCGGGCTAATCCCGGGGTTTGCCTTTAAGCACTTTGCCCTGCTCTCACTTAGTCATTGATATCGAGGTTCGGATCGTTTTCACACACATACTTAATGCTACATATCTGTAAAATTGAAATGTATATGGCTGCATATGGTTCTTCGCTTCAGGTTTTCTAGAATACATGAAGGAATGGCGCGGAAATATCAAAACTCGACCTCACAAATAACTGGCTTGAGATCCATCAATAACGATAAGGACTAATAGAACAAAAAAACTACGTTTTAATAACAATTTTCAATTTTGGAAGACATAAAGTTCACCCGCACAATGTCACAAATGTTACTGGCCTTTTCACCATGTGGAAATAAACATTTTCTCTTTGTCTACTGCAATCTATATGCTAAGGCAATCATTTTTTCACTATTGTCCAGAATTGCTACCTTGAACTCGATTTTTTCAATTGCACCAGCTAATACGTGCGCCCGTATTCGCACTTGCCTTTCCATGCTGTCACTTGACTCTCGCTCTACATACCCGCGGACCTCGCCCAGAGGCGTGATAACTCGTTGCTTTACCTCTACTAGAAAACGGAATCTTCTAAAAAAATTAGTACTTGTAGTTGGTGGTCATAACTGGCGTATTCATGCTGAAAACAAATGCAATTTAGGTTCCGAACATTCCTTGGAGGCGCGATTCCTTATAGATATCTTCTGAAATTACCTGGGAAAATCCTACTTACATGGTATAAACAATCGGACAACTGTAGTGCTGCATATGAGCAGCTTGGCACCGCATGTATTCATTATACGCACGCACATTTGATAGGATCAGGTGTACTGGAGTGCGAGAGTAGCTTAAGTTCTAACAACAATGACAGATAAATCACAGCTGTCTCGAGGCAATCCTGTTCTTGACCTTTAGTCGTACGCAGGCGGTTCTTTGCTCCCACTCCACCAGAATGCAGAGGTTCGAGTTTTCTCATGCATCCTCTGAATTACCAGAAAGAATCCCACTGGCATGCGAACAAAAACGTGTCAATAATCGTAACTCTGGAAAAAAGGCTTTACTCACTCACGTTATGACCGATAAGTGGGACAGTTTATGTCCGTGGAGCTATAACCCTTCAAGTGACGTCTTGGAAGTAAAAGAGCGAATAGTTCTAGGTGGGTGAAAAACGAAAACAGTTTCATGGGTTCTATTCACAGCCTAGGATTCGTAGGGGAAAATCCAAAAGACGCTTCGAAAAAGGCAGTTCACCCCTGTGGAGTTTTGGACGCGGTTAGAATTTATTATAAAACAAATCCGTAGTATGCGTGCGCCTACAGTAAGAGATCTTGGTAGTCATATTTGGTGACGGTCTCGCCACAACAGAGCCTCCTTCATTACTCTGAAGGATCGTATTGCATAAGCGAACGCTTGATCTCAGTAAAGAGCGAGGTAATTTTTATGCAGGTTAGACGGGGTCGTATATGAGAATTTATATGAATTTATGAGAATTTTCTTGAACCAAGGCTTGACCTCGATGCAATACAGCACTTGAACTGCATTTACACTGTGCTTTAACTTCAGCTTCCTTCATGTGGTTCTACTTGCAGGTCCGAAGAATCAGCAAGGAATTTATGGACAAAGCGAACCCGTCTAGTGTGAATGAAGCCACAAATAATGGTAACGGTTCTGAACGTAAGTGTCGTATTTCCCTTGAAGAAATAATAAGAAATAAGCTGGACGCTACCGTATCCTGGGATGTGCTCTGCACTGTGCCAATTAAATTGGTCTCTCATATTCATCGGCGGGTCTTTTCACAGGCTTAGCGCACGCTGATTACTCTACGGAAGGGAGGACTACTCTTACGTATTTTACAGTGAAAAGCAGCCCATTAGAAATTGAGTTAGAGATGGTCAGAGATGCACGAAAGAAGAAAAACTGGGAAAATGGCCTAGAACCGAGAAATGGGACCCCTTCCTTGCCCGTTGATTTCCGCATTGATGCGACTCTCATCGGTGCTGCCCTCTTCAACGCTAACGTTCTTTGTGCTAAACGGCTAGAGACTCAGACACTTGGTGACGCGAGCAGGTTGTCCAAAGCGCAAATAGCGCGCCAATAGAAGGGGAAGGTAGTGCTAGATTGCCGTAGCATATCCTTCGATGCGAATTGCGTGTCGGTCCGCACCCTTGCGAGGTCCGCCTGTCTCTTAACTAGGTAAGTTTTCCCTTCTTCGACCTTCGTCCTTATCGAAGAATCCTTCTTCAAGAACAAGCTCAGGCTCAGCTTTTTCAGAAAATGGATTTCACAGAAATGGTCATGCGCAAAGCGAAAAGTGTGGCAATAATGGGAATGGCTGGCTCTGCACGTCACCTCCTTGGTCGGGAGATTTATGTCAGCTATCTGTCGAAAATAATAAAGCCACGGCTCACCCTAGCGGTGAGCTTCCCTATCACTTTGCCAATGCGGTGCTCATTGCTTTTCGCACTTTCCGTTGCATGACCATTTCCTTTCCTGGTAGGATAATGTAACATTTGACTTTGAACGTTCATGGCTGTGGGGGGATGGGGAATTCAAAATAATAGCGATGGTGGGTGATACTAAGGCTAGACCCTAAAATGGGGATAAGAGAACCAAGGAGAACCCAAACTGCTCACATTCTACCCTATAATCCCCACTCACTAAGGTTTAGTCCCAAGTACTGTAACTAGCTCACTTGAATCTCCGCCACTTCCCACCACCAGTAGTCCAACACTCTTTCGAAAACCTTCCCAGCTCATGCTCTGACTTGTGCGACGAACTCTCGTGTGTCGTGCATCTATTTTTTCTCTTACAACTGAATGATAACGTGAAATTTTTGAAGATCCTTTCAGGTGTTGATTACCAATGATAACGCATATTTATTTATGCCGAGAATCGCTCCATAAAGGATCCCTCGTGGTATTTTATCACTTGATGGACTGGATTGCTAGCCTCATAAGTGGTTTATGGGGCTTTCTTTATAGAACGCAACTTTATCGGAACCCACCCCCTGTAGAAATAAGCTCAGTCACGTGTGCCCAGCTGATAAACTACGCGAAATCTACCCATGGTACGCAAACGTTGTTTAGAGCCCTCAGATGACATCCTCCCAAGTGATCCTGATTGCGATCCTGACCATCCTAAGAAGATCACCTTCTCCGACGTCTCCAGTGCCGCGTTCAACATCAAAAATGGCGTTCTACGAACTCCCTGTAGTGTAAGTTGTTTGGTGTAGAAAGTAATAAAACAAATATCAATCAATGATTGTTTAGAAATCATCAAATCTATCGAGGATGCTTAACATGGAATTATATTTCAAGAAAGAATATCTTCAAGCAACTGGTTCATTCAAGGAGCGTGGAGCACGATATGCTTTATCAAGACTCACTAAGGAAGAGAGGGAAATCGGAGTTATAGCGGCTAGCGCTGGTGAGAACAGTATTACTTCTTGATCATATTTGATAGAGAACTGGAAACCTGAACCCAGCTGCTCAGCAAACAAAAGTTGTCCGGTCTATCCAGTGCTAATTGCAGCGCTAAATATTCGCGTATGAATGCCATGACTGCATAGTCTCGTTTAGGTAACCACGCACTTGCTCTCAGTTATCATGGTCAACAGCTGAACATTCCGGTAACAGTGGTAATGCCTGTGTTCGCACCGCTGATGAAAATCGGAATGTGTCGTTCGTACGGAGCAACTGTTGTCCTAAAAGGCGACAATATCGGAAAGGTTAGTGTTAAGAATGAATTTTTCGAATACTACTGGTCAAAGGCAAAGTCCTGGCATTGTTTTGTGGGCGGGTTCAACGGTTTAGGATGGGGCCAATACTGCACCCTAGGGCCTTGGACCTCGACCGTCAAATCATGAAAGCTGTGTATTTGCTTTCCGCTTGCGTCATGCTGTACCTTTCTCGAGGAAAGCTTGATGTCTCACAGAAATCTCGGACCTTGTCTTTAAGAATACAATTTAACAATTCCTACCTTCGAACGTTACGACCTTACGACTGAGTCTTTCAGGCAAAAGAGCATGCAATGCGACTGGTTATGGAAAAGAAGTACAAATACATAAATGGCTATGATGCTCCAGATATCCTAGCGGGACAAGGAACGCTTGGTTTAGAGATCCTTGAGCAGGTTTGCAGTTTTGAGCCAGTTTTACCAACCATCAATTTCCGAGCAAGCAAAAATACGGTCGTGCCATCACGATGAACTTGCGAAAAAATTATAAACGCATGGGATGAAAGCACCAATGGAACAATATTACTGAGAAACTGATTCATTCAAGATTCATAATTAATCTTGACGCCGACCCAGAAGCCCGCGGAGCGCATCAAATGGGCAAATCTCCAATGTGCATCGGAATGGGAGCTGCCTTGAAATAAAATCTTCTTATGCTGTTGTTTTCCGGAAGGATTTGGCCGGTGAGAATGCCTATAGGAGAACGCAAGGATTTGATGTGGATTAAATGCTTTCAAAACCTTCTGCACCAATTGCGCTTTGTTGTGAGTTGTAGAGACTGCAAAATGTTTGTAAATATGTATACGTACGAGTTACGGAATATTTCGAATGTCAGCCATGGAAGGAGCCATGGCGATGATTGCTCACCATCAGGTAAGCTTCAGTCAAGCGGTTTTGGAGGATGGAGGACGTAGCTGGTTTGTGCTGAATTTAACTCAAACTTCGTTGTCAAGCCATGTGTGCTTCGACTGTGTCCCTTTCCAGGAGAAACCGCAGTTAGGGCGAGCGAGGTTGTGTTCGTTCCACCGAAAAGTAAGCCCAGAGAGTATCTGCAACTTGCTTCACAGTAGCTACGTGCATGGCGCATCTCAAAGAAATAGTTGATAGCGCCAAGTGCTACAGTTCTATTTATAACAAACTAATTCTGGTCCTATCTAAAGGCAAAGATTACGATTAGAAGGCAACCCATTAGAATTAAGGTAGAGGTGGTCAGTGGTGCCGGGATGAAGAAAAACATAAGAAGGCCAGAACCCGAGAAATGGGACCCCTTCCTTGCCCGTTGATTTCCGCATTGATGCGACTCTCATCGGTGCTGCCCTCTTCAACGCTAACGCTCTATCTCTGCTAGGGGGCAGAGCATGACTTGGAGAGGATGGGCGTGCCATGTTGATGGCGCCGTGGGTTCGGCTATGCTAGATTGCCGGGGGCATATCCTACCCCACGAAACGCGCATCGTTCCGCATTCTTAGTGGGCCCGCCTACCTTTCCCCACTGGGTACGTCTCTCCTTCTTCCACCTCCGACATATCGTGGAATCCTCCTTCAAAACGAAATGCATGCTATGACATCTTTGGACTTCGGAAGCCATCTCAAATCATCTCATCTCATCTCTCTCCCTCCTAAAATAGTCCTTAAGATAGCAGTGATCGTTGGAATTTAAGGAGCATGCACGTGTAGCAAAGTTAACAGCGGCGATTTTCAAAAGGCTACATTCACGATAATCTTGGTGCATTTTAGATAAAGAACTATTTGAACTAGTAAGACTTTTCAAGGTTTTTTAGCAAGGCGGCATCCTAGAAAGTTATGAATGATGAAAGCAAAATGTGTGCATTCTGTGAAATCTCACTTTTTACTTCATGGCAATTAAAACACTTCAATTTTTGAGATAGTTGGGTAACTTGCTGAAAACTTAAGTTTAGTAGATTTCAACAAGTTTGTAACTCTTGCATACCGCTAGTATTTGAGTAATTATGCTTGTCCAAAGAGCCACACTCCTACTCCACCTCTGCCTCGCCGCCTGGAATGAGATCAGCAATTCATTACTTAGAGAACAGTCCCAGCAGGATTTTTGACTTGTTTTTGTTTGTTAACTGCTGTTTTTGGCCGCAGTTAACAAACAAAAAAATGCGGCCAAAAACAGCAGTTAACAAACAAAAACAAGTCAAAATTCATTGCTAAAGCTTTCAGCCTCGCGGTCATTGCCGATATCGGCTAACCGGCTCAACACGTTATACGTGTGAGTGCTGAAAGCTATGGTACGTATACCATGAAAAGCTGAGTTGGAATGAAATGGTGCCCCGGTAGCGTAACTGGTAGCGCACTTGCCCGGAAAGCGAGAGGTGCGGGTTCTAGTCCCGCCTGGGGCGAAAGTTTTGTTCACAACCCAGCATTCTTGTGAAACAGTCCCAGCAGGGTTTTACCTTCAACACTAATGGTGTGGAACGATGCGCTAGCCCTAGTCAAGAACATAAGAAGTGTGACTGAACAAAAAAACCTTGGAAAGCCGCTAGAAAGGGAGCTGAACGGCTTCGAAGTGGGCGTGGTTGCTCAGTCGGCTGCAATCCCCTCGGCCGACTTCCAACCACGCCCACTTCGAAGCCGTTCAGCTCCCTTTCTAGCGGCTTTTCCAAGGTGAGTTTTTGTTCAGTCACACTTCTTATGTTCTTGACTAGGGCTAGCGCATCGTTCCACACCATTAGTGTCGAAGGTAAAAACCCTGCTGGGACTTTTGCTTTGAAGGCAAACCCCGGGATTAGGCTCATTGGTAGGAAGCACACCATGAGTGAACTTGTTGGATCCGAACCTGCAGAGGTCGTGTCGTCGCGCAAAACGCGCTTTTGGGGCGCTAACTAAGAAAATGCAACCATCGCAACGCTCCACACCCACCACAATTGATGTAGAGATCAGCGCGCCCTTTCATACGAGGTGCTCTCTCGTGCTTTACCTTCTCTGGTCGATCTGTCTCTCCGTCGTATCACATACAACTTCCCTGTTTTTCGAAGTCCCTTAATTTTAGCGTTTTAGATGATTCTGCTCACTTTCTTTCCCAATTTCAGTTGCTCCGCGGCTGATCCATATCTACGAAGTGCTGTCATGCACCAGCTTTAGACCGGGGTCTGCCTTTAAGCATCACTGCGTAGCCCTCTGTTCCATTTCCATGATGCTAAATAGATTCTTAGAAATTAGATTGCTAAATAGATTCTGTCCCTCAGGTGGTTCCAGCGGCTAGCTCATGTTTAAGGTGGTTCTACGATTTCGCGATTCGGCGATTCAGTTATTCTTCTGTTCTCCTTCTCTTGTTTCGGCAGAATGGCCAACATGCTCGGTGTCCAGAAACAAGGACGACATTGAGTAATCGTTTGTAGTCAATGCTCACAGATCAGGATTCGGCTGATTCGACGATCCCATTGCGAAGACTTGCCGTATATCAATCAATTTGTTCGACTCTATGTGCGATTTCGGCGATTCGGGTATTCGGTAACTCAACAATCCTGATCGTTACATATGCTCTGTACGCAAGTAACATAGAGGGTAGAAAGGTAAAGAAGGCATTTCCTCTTCACATTCAAGCGGAACTACAATCTGCTCACTTCCAATCCGAATGCTTCCAATTGACTACTGAATAGCAAATCCCAATCCACAAAAAACTTCACAGTAGCCTTCGACACCAGCGACATCAGAAGAATTGCCACTAGAACATGGTGCACAGTTCAAGCTCAACAAGGTCCCTAAAGGATCGCAGACGAACACGACGTTGTCTAAAACGCTGGTCAGATGGGGTCTATGTATTCAGTCAGTCTGCGGGTCTCGGAATTTCTCCGTCAGTTAACTGGTTGGAGAAATATTGTAGCGGCTTCAGCTGAAGCAGTCTCGCTTAGAAAAGTCGGTCTATCGAAAGAGGCTTTGCCTCTGCTGATGGATAAAATCAATATAGACCATGAAATTAGGTTAAGTTTCCAATTGAAGGAATCCCTTTCCCTCTTCTGAATCTGCACCTCTTTCTTATCTGGGCTCTCTCAAGCAAAAACACTCGGTTTTCAAACTACTATTCACTCTTCCCAAGAAATCTGACAAGTGCATATATAGGCATATGGAATCCGATGGAATCATTAAAGTCTCCGAAATTTGCAAAACTTTCATAGAAATTTGAAATTGCGCTACCGATCACGCTCAACGCGGACTCGATGCCCACAAAAAATACGTCCCCCGCTCTCTCCCTTTCCTGAGTACTCAATAGGCACATATTTCGTACCATGTGACGGGGAAGGCTTGCCAACAACTGTGGTAAGATGGAAAATAATAGCGATGA